GTGGGTCGGCTCAGCCTGCGGGAGGTGCCGGACCTCCCGGACATGAGGAAGCGGGGCGACGCGGGGCTCGACAGCCCCGACTCCGGGCTGCCCCCCAGCCCCGGGCCCGCCCCCCCGCCTTGGCTCCTCTCCTCCGGTAGCCCCGACCGCGCCGCCGTCACCACCGCCACCACCAACGGGCTGCCGGAGCCCGACCTCTCCGCTCCCGCCGCCGCGGTGAGTACCGGCACCGGCCGCCCCCGCCACCCCTTCTGCAGCGCCGCGGGACCCTCCGCCCCGGGGCTGCGGCCGGGAGAGGGACCGGTATCCCCGGGCACCCGCCGCCGCTGCTCCCGATGCCCATTTCTGCTGCGAGCTACCCTTGGAGAAAGCCAGGGCAGCTGCTGCTGAGGTTGAGCAATGGGGGAGAGTGGTGAGACACTAAGGGAACAGTGTCCCCCTTTTTTCTCCTTAGTGTCCCAGGGGAGAGAAGTCCCCTCTCTTGTCCCAGTCCTGCCCCAGTGGCCGAGTGAACGCCGTGCTGCCCCGCTCTGGTCCCAGCTGCCCCATACGTGTGCCTCCATGAGCCACTGTGCCCAACATCCAACATCAGAATGGTGTCCAACATCAGGATGGTGCACAGTCCATAGAGAGAAGGGCAACAGAGCTGGTGAGGGGTCTGGAGAGTAAGTGTTATGAGGAGAGGCTGAGGGAGCTGGGGGTGTTCAGTCTGGAGAAGAGGAAGCTGAGGGGAGACCTTCTCGCTCTCTACAACTATCTGAAGGGAGGGTGTAGAGAGGCAGGGGTCGGTCTCTTCTCCCAAGACACAGGAGATAGGACATGAGGAAACGGCCTCAAGTTGCACCAGGGGAGGTTCAGGCTGGATAGTAGGAAAAATTTTTTCACTGAAAGGGTTATCAAGCACCCGCCGCCGCTGCTCCCGGGCTCGGTCCTGTTGCGGCGGGGGCTGGGTCCCGCCACCCGGAGCGGAGAAGCCGCTGCCCCTCGGAGCCTGCCGTGATGCCGGGGAAGGCCGGGCGGGGGGCTTCTCCTTAGGCTGGCCGCACCGGGACCCCTCCAGGCCCCGCAGCATCCTTCGAGGAAAGGAGGGGGAAACCAGCCCCGGCGGCGCTGGGGTTACTGGGGGGGTGTCACCGGGGTGTCCGGTGTGGGAACAGGTTGGAAGGTTTCTCTCCCTTCCATGACCCCCTCCTGCTGCTGCCGTACCCGTTACCGTGCCCACACCGGAGGTGGGGTTGTTCAGTCCGGGGAAGAGGAGGCTGAGGGGAGACCTTCTCGCTCTCTACAACTATCTGAAGGGAGGGTGTAGAGAGGCAGGGGTCGGTCTCTTCTCCCAAGACACAGGAGATATGGTGTCCAACATCAGGATGGTGCACAGTCCGTGGCCCCGCAGCATCCTTCGAGGAAAGGAGGGGGAAACCAGCCCCGGCGGTACCGGGGTTACTGGGGGGGGTGTCACCGGGGTGTCAGGTTGGAAGCAGCTGACCCCCGTTTCCTTCCCTTCCACTGACCCCTTCCTGCTGCTGCCGTACCCGTTACCGTACCCACACTGGAGGGAGCTCACCGGGGAACCGGGGTGTCTGCAGCCAGGGCCGTGCTGGGTCAGGGGAGCCGGCGGTGCGTTTTAAAAGGCTCCAGCTTTGGGGCTGGCCCTCGCTGGTGGAAGGGAATCCCCTGTCCCTCCTGCCCCAGGTAGGGGTTGGGATGGCATCGCAGTGCATCTTTGGAAATCCTGGTGGAAAATGAACTCTTGTTTATTGCCGGGAGTGACCCTGGGTGGTTTCAGTTAGTAGTGTCGGATAGAGGTGTGCTAGTTTTTCACAAAATGATTTTTGAATGTTGAGGCTGAGCTGTTGGTACAAACACTTTGGAAACTGTGGGTCAAGAGGGAAGATCCCTTTTCCATAGGGATACCATGAAATCAGGAAAGGCTGCAGGAGAACCGTGTGTTGAACAGGAGAGATGCTCACAACCCCCTCACCCCTCACATGTGCAGAGGTGGCTTCCCAAACACGAGCGGGTTGTTTCCCTTCAGGGCCACTTTGGTTTCCTCCTGGCTGTGGGACATTGCCAGGCCGGTGTCAGCTCGCAGCGCTGCCTGGCCAGGAGAGGAGCATGGGGACCCTCAGTGGGAATGAGTTAATCCTTCCCAACAGGTCTCACATGAGTTAGGCAGGTTGGATTTAACGCCTTCAAATAGTAGTCACCGTGTAGCCATGAAACAAGGAGGTTTCTCACGGCAAGATGCCCTGCAATAATTTCCTGTTGTGATCTGCCCATGGGCATATCTGATGAATTGAGCAAGGAGAGCACTCCCATACACTGGTATGGGGTTAGCTACAAACTGAACGTGAGCTCGTACAGGGAATGGACTCCACGCTGCAGAAAGCTGAGCTGCACCCAAGGGGTTGTGCTTCTCCCTCGTTGCCCAGAGTGGCTCCTCTGAAGTAAGCTCCCAGAGTGAGGACTTTGTCTTTGGAAAATACACCCTGCCACATCTTTGGGGCTGTAGACCAGCATCAAGTCAGACCTGCAGGTTGTACCAGTAGGCATGTCTTCGAGGGGCTGTAGACCAGCATCAAGTCAGACCTGGAGGTTGTACCAGTAGGCACGTCTTTGACTAGCAGATCCTCTTGCATGTCCATGTGAACCTCAACAGCTCTGTACCAAGGGCTAAATAAATGTGTTTTCTTGAGAATATACTGAATTACACCATGTGAACCTCAACAGCTCTGTACCAAGGGCTAAATGTGTTTTCTTGGGAATATACTGAATTACAACATTAAAAGGATTATTTTTGCTTTTTTTTTTTTTTTGCAGAATTCTGTGTTCTCTCCCAGCCCTGTTCTCTCCAGCTGCACTCCAAGACTGTGTCCTTTATCCTTTGGCGAAGGAGTTGAGTTTGACCCTTTACCACCAAAGGAAATAAGGTAAATAGTGTGTTACAGTCATCTAGTTTGGAAAGAGTTACCATGTAAAGGAGTAGTTAGGCCTTATCAGTGCCTGTGAGTCAAGTTAATTTATTTGCAGAGCTATTGTTTCACGCAGCTGTACATTCCTGGACCTGGATATTAGTACAGACTGAAGGAGTGTTCAGCCTCTTTTAATTCCACGTGGTTTTTTTTCCAGGAAGACTTTCCTGTATTTTAGTCTTTTGCTTTTACTGCACTGCTGCAAAATGTTGACTTTCAACTGATTAACCAGAAGGTAATCGTGAGGGAAGATCTTAAAAGTAGCCATCTTTATAGGACTTTTACTAGGGGAAAGGAATTTTACTCTCATAACTTCATGGTTTTATAATAAGCGCTTTCTATCTTACCAGCTGTGGCTGGTTGTGTGAACTAAAAGAAAAGTTAGCATTCAGAGAGTACATAATTATTTTTCTTAATGGGCTGCATCACTTCACAGCCTGTGAATTACTCCTTTGAACATCATGATTTGCAGTAATGAGAAATGAAGGCTCCCAGCTGATTACTGTGCAGGCAGAAGTGGACTGATACAATCAAACGGAAGCCTAATGCAGGGGAGGGCAGAGGGAGTCGATGCTCTGCTGTGGGGACGGAGCCTGAGCTGGGGCTGGAATTGAAGGCGGTTAGAACCACGGAAAAGATAACACTGAGTTGTTGCAATGTGAAGGAGATGAAAACTTTCACAAACCAGGCACAGAGGATTTTCTTGCCAGCAGCGTTTGATGTGCAAATTGCAGCGTTTTCCTGCCAGTTGAATCTTCAGAAGTTTGCCTTCAGAGAGTGCCCCGTGCTGGGAGCGATAGCAGGGGACTCCTGTGTGCCTCTCTCCTCTCTCAAAGTGGGAAAGTAACGTGTGCTTCCATGGACTTGGCAGTCCAAGGAATTAGGATGCTTATGTGCAAAGCCTAAATGTGCATCTAGGCTTCTGGGTTTGGGCACTGGAGTTTGAAGGAGGTTCTTAGGTTCATAGAGCTCAGGCTTAAGATGATGGACAGGAGGGTTGAGAAGATGTTTGGTAGTGCTGGCAGCTGGACAAAGGAGTGCCGGGTGTGCTGCCAACGTAAGGATTTTCCTTTTCCCATAAATGAGTAAGAGACCAGCAGATGATGTTTGCGGGATGTGGCCATTGCTGTGTTGAGGTGGCAGGTCCAGGGCTGGGGAGCCACCATGGTTCCTGACGGCTCCGCTTGGTGGAAAATGCAGCCTCCTGTTCCAGAGCAGAGCTCACACACGTCTCCCTCCTGTATTTCAGGTACACATCCTCGGTGAAATACGACTCGGAGAAGCACTTCATCGATGACATCTATATGCCAGTGGGCTTAAGCGTTTCCTCTTGCAGCCAGACGGTCATCTGCGTCCCAAACTGCACGTGGCGTAACTACAAATCGGAGGTCCACTTAGAGCCCCGCAACAAGCCCCAGCGTTTCACCAGCACCACCATCGTCTACCCGAAGCACGCCAAGACTGTGTACACCACCACGCTGGATTACAACTGTCGGAAAACCGTGCGGCGGTTCCTCTCCAGCATAGAGCTGGAAACGTCGGAGTACCTTGGGAACGACTGTGTCCTGGATGGTTGCTGACTGATGGCTGTCTCTCCTCCTCTGATCCATCCCAGTCCCGTCTAACGTACTGTGCTAACTCTCCACTAGCTAAAGTGGGTACAGACCCCGACTTTCCGGTCAGGTTAAGGGAACCTTACCTGTCGCCATCTCTTTTTCAGCTCTTAATTCCTGCTTTAATCATCAAAATGGCCTGAACGCAGTTTTTCAGTGGGAACATAACTTAGTAAGGAACCTGTTTCTTTGCCTGTAAAGTCGTGAGTTCCCTCCCCTTCCCTGCAGTGCAGTAATCAGATGAAAATAAGGGGAAGTATTTTCCCAGACAAAAAAAATTGACAGGTAAGAAAGAACGTGGAACAGTGCCTGGCAGGTGGAAATCCATTTGATGCTTTGTGGTGATGTGCAAAAATAAGGGCAGTTTGCTCTCTTGCAGAGAATCTGCCAGGTCTTTTGGTTACAGATAGCCAGAGCTGTCATTCGTTTCAGTTTAGACCGCAAGACTGTTTTCTCTAGAAGACCCATCTCCTGGAAATTGCTGGAAAAAGCTAACAGAGGAAAAAATTGGAATTCTGCGTTTAGCAGAACACACAAATGTTATCCTATGGCATTCATGTCTGGTTTGAAACTGTGAGTTGGAAAGAGGAGGAATTCTGAGTAGAGCAGGAGGCTTAACTGCTTTTGCAGCTCCAGGCAGCAGGGAAAGGATCAGGTAATTTAAGTTCTTTAGATGAATGGCGTGATGTATTTTCTGTACTTATAATGACTTCTACAGCACTGTAGTCTGTGTAACACGCTAGCATGTAGTAGGACTTGTAATGAAGAGTATCAGGCCCAAAGTTATCCATGTATTGCTGGAGAGTCGGGTCTTGACAGTGTGGTGGTGGAAAAACACCAGTGCCCAGTTTTTACCGACGTACTGTCTGCACTAAGGGAGTTGTAACTAGGGAAGTTTCAGAAAATGCACCATGTATAAAGGGACCTAGAATGGAGGAGGGGATGCTGGGATCAGGTGTGAGATGCTGTCATGGTGGGGATTGTGAAGAGATAGATGGTAGCAAAGGATGGGCAAATTTCTATTGCATAGTGAAATCCACAGCTGTAGCTCTGCTTCCCTGTTGAGCTTCTCATTGCAAAAGGTCCGTGTCCTCTCTGGATTTTGGTGTTCAGGATTGTCACTAGGGTGGGATAGCATTTGGCTGTCTGTAGGCTGCTGAATAACCCCTCCAGTTCCAAGTGCATGATGAGTTTGTGGACCAAAGGGAGTATCTTCAGATACTATGAAAGTCCATCTGGATGGTACGTGCATTAGGTTATCAGGCACTTTGATGAAAATGAGATGGAGAGGTTTTTTTTCTATATTGGCAGCAGTGTAGTGTGGAGAGCATCCGCTTTTGGGAGCATGGCTTAATGTTGGTGGCTAGTGTGGTGTCGCAGCTCAGAAACACTTGGTAGACCTGACTTAGTTGGACATACCTTTTCCATGTATTCCAAAACTCCTCTGAGATGTGGGTCACCTTCTGGTCCAACATCAGCCCTGAACCTGCTTTTAAAGAGGGCTTCACCAGTGCATAGCCCCAAGGGTGAATTTTGTCAGTGGTGAGTTAGAAACCAGGAGCCTGTTCTTGAGCTGTACTTCACGTGTGTTTGTGCAAGTGTGATGAACGGTGTGGGAGTGTACTCTAGTGTGAACTGAAATGATTTGGGAGACTGAAAATGCAGCAGGAAAGAAGGCTTGAGTTTGTGAGGTTTGAGCTTTGGGGTTTTTTTAATATATTTATTAGTTCAAAACAGAACATCCTCAATCTTTGGTAGTTGCCTCAGAAAGCCAGATCCTAAAACAGTCCCAGGGTGACAGAGGATGCCAAAGTCAGGCAGGCATTGCTCCAGAGTTGTTAAGAGCAGCACAGTCTTTTCATTAAACATGTTGGTTTCAGACTACAGTATTTAGGAGATGTGTCTTAAATACATGTTGCGATTCTACCCAAAACATTGCCTCAAGATACATTTGTTGTGTGACAGAAGGCACAACTCGGCCCCTAAGTGTGTGAGGTTTCAAGTGGACAAAACTCTTCCTTGGGAAAGCTGTTGTGTCATTGCTTGCTTCGCAGTTTTGCGTACCTTGCTCCTGAAGCATCTGGTGCTGGCCACTGTTGGACACAGGACGCTGGAAGAACACGGACCCTGGATTGCTCCGACAATGCTCTTCCAATGAATTCATTTGCAGGACATCTAAAAGAAAATTATTTTAAGTTGTAATCATTAATTGTCCCTAGTTAGAAATGAAATGACCCTTACACTATGGTTTTAGAATAAAGCACTTGGTTTTTATAAAGCAAACAAACTTAATTATGTACCTCTTAAAAATATTTTAATTGGTAGAGATACCTTTTAAATTATTTATGTTCCAACATTTGCAAAGCTCTGATTAGCTCTGTGCAAGTGTTCTGATGTTCTGTCTGTGACGTTTCCTACTCCCCCTTATAATTTTCAATTTGTATTTTACTTTATTGGTAATAAATGATCTGAAAACCATCACATAGGAAAGTGTCTTTATTTTTCATTCAAAGCTTTTCAGTGTTTATTGTGGTATTTACTTAGTAATAAATTCATAACATATCCTGCTAATCCCAGCTCCTCTTGTTTCTCTTTTGCCATGTGTTGCTGTTGTTTACATATTCTAGGAGGGCGTTTCCTATATAAAACTGTGTATTCAGAAAAAAAAAACCCAACACCAAATGTTGTGGGTTTATCAGTTTAGTAAGGCACTTGAAAAAGTGCCTTGAAGACAGCTGAAAATCCTCTCCAGAATGTATTTGAGTCTTTGATCTGGTGTAGCTTTATTTTTACAGAGGTTCTGGTATGGATTTCAGGATATCCTGCAAGTGAAGCACTCATGCTTTTCAAATATAACAAGTATTTAACCAGACAGGAACTTCTTTTAATTTTGCTTAAACATGTAGGTGCTGAAATGCTACTTTAGTAAATACAGCATAAAATAAGACTAGAATGTGTTACGCATTAAACTTTATAAAAACTATTGTTTTGAGATAAATACTGTAGTGTTTTTCTGGATGCTTAATCTGTTCTTTAAACCTTTCCGAATTTGCAGGCGTGCTGATTTGGTTAGTATCTCTGGCAGACTAGTAATGGATGCAATTGAACAACAGCTAATTAATTCATAATGGGATTTTTTGCTTACTTTTTATTGTTCATCTGGTTATCTGCTTGCAAAAGCCCTAGATTGGCATGTAATGACATTATTGGAACCTAGGGAGCTTTGAAGCTATTCTGAAGCATGCCGCTGCTCCTGCGAAAAGTCTGTGCAGGCATTTGAGTATTATGCAGAGTTTAAAGCATTTAACAGGAGACAAGCTGCATATAAACATCCATTGTTGTATAAAAGACAATCCATTTGAAGATCTATTAAGAAAAATCTTTTAAAATCTTTCAGTATCTTTCAGGAGGGCTTCAGGAAAAGGGCCATCTACTTCTAAATACTTCCTTTAGTGTGGCCTGGGCTGTTTTCCTTTTAATATTGTAGTAACACTCTGTGTGATAGATGTTGTTTTAATATGAAAATTTGAAATAGGGGAGTACAAGGTAGTCTACTGCTTGGTGTGATTTTTAAATCATGTTGACCAAATGGGCTTCCAGTTAATACATACCACGATTAGCTTTATTCTGTTGTTATAGACGTCCTCCATTTTCCTTATATATATGCTGTGTTTTTCCAGAATGTCAAGTCTGAGGGTCTGATACAATGAATTTTTGTAACAAAATAAAATACTGTACCTAATGATCACAAGCCAGGAGGTGAGGGCTGGATTCCAATCCTGATTTTGCAGCTTGCTCAGTTTGAGTTTGAGGTAAGTTTGTGCACCTGCAAATCATTTTAGCATCCAAAGAAGGTTTCAGGTCATTCAGCTGCCCACACTCAGTTCCCAATCTGCCACAATTGTGAACACCTGAAAAGCTCAGGTGGCATGCAGTGAGTATTACTTTGAAATATACTAATAGCAATGATTAGAGATACTCCAGGACAAATAGGCAGCATGGAAAGGAGCACTTTTAATTGTTGAAGTAGTCCAAGTAGCATTCATATTTTAATTAGATGGTTGGATTGTTTTTAAAATAAAAATGTCCTGTTCTCTGCACAGATATAAGTGAGTAATCAGTACCAAGCTACAGAACTTGTTGAGAGATTTTGGGTGGCACCACAGGTTGCAGCTCAGAGACTACACTAGCTCGTTCAGCATTCAGGACTGGCTCATGCTTGCTCCTCCGGAAAATAACTGCAGCAATCTTCTTTACAGGCTGTGTGATCACTGCTTGCGCAGGGTGCCCTGTGATGAAGTAATGGGGAATGCCTGACATTTGGGCACGGCTCAGCAGGCAGATGTTGCTGGATATACGATTCGTACCGTTTCCTTCTGTTCATCTTATAGATACGTAGCCTTTCTTCCTCGGCTACGGGATCTTCAAGAATCCCATCCCATCGAAGGCTTTCATTAAGCTGAGCAGAAAGACCTTGATCTGTTTGATTAGAGTCCAAAATAATGGAAGTTGATGCTACAAGCTTCTTTATTTCTGCATCTGTCTGTTTTTCTTCTGCTTTGTTTTGGGCTGAGTCAGGATTCCTCCCAGGACTTGGGATTTCGGATGACGGAGGGGAGCGGGCCCGCTGCTTTCTGGTTTTGTGGTGGTGTTTATCTGTTAAAATGATAAATGCTGTTAGCAAAAAATGTATGAATTGCCTCTGAGGCTTTCCTGCTTATTTCATAAAGAAGATGATGAGACAAGTGCTTGCTTTGCCTTTATGTGGCCATTAATAAAAACCCAAATCTATAAGAAAATATTAATGGCTTAAAAATCTTAGTTTTAAGTAGAAAATATATATTTATCTGATTGGCTAACATAGCAATTGTCACACCTGTAAAATGCATTTATTGCGGCTGATAATGCATTAATAGAATTTATACCCTGGCATTAAGTTCACTGTGCTTGCCTAACTCAATTTAGGCAGGAAACTGATTCTTAGTTGTGGATTTTTTGTAAGTTGTTGTCCATTAATACAGCAATCAATGTGATTACTTTTTTTTTTTTTTAATAGCACAATTTCTGGAAACTTTCAGGCAGCTTTTGTACTAAGATACTGGAAGTGAATGGCTACTCCTTTACACGGAAGATTTTTTGAAATTAACCTCCCCTTTCTGTAGCTGTAACAGCAACTCAACCTCACTGATGGGAAGTTAAATCAGTGCCATGACTCATGCCCGTGGAACGGTGAATATTTAAACAACTATAGTGTAGCTCACCAAAAGAAAACCACTAAATATTTACAGCATCCCAAATCTTATGCAGTTTATGAGATGTCCTACTTCTTGACAGATGTCTTATGCCTCCTACTGCTTATGCTGTGTAGTTACATGGTCTCCGTCTCTTTTTTTTGGCTAGATCTGTAGCTGTATATGAAATGGTATATATAAATGGGCTACAGGTTCAGTGAAAGGTTTTAAAGTGCCATAGATTATCTCCTAGGGAAGGCTGTTTTTTCTCTTCAAGGCAGTTGTCCTGCAAGATGGAGGGAGACTTGAGCACCACATCCTCTGGCCAGCACAGACAGGTGAATTGGAGCTGCCTTTCTGCTGGTACACACACTCCAGCTGGGCATCCCTTCACATCTGCATGTCGTCAATTTCACAAACATGCAACGGTCACCTACCAGCCTGGTGCACACATGGCTTTGCCATGTCTCTTTCCCTCCCCAGGCCTGCCTGGACCCTGCATGGGAAGTTTTGGGGACAGTTGTGGGGAGTGCGGGAGCGTCATGAGGGATGGTGGCCTTTGCCCACACCTGCTGAGGTGCCCAGCCCAGCTCACCTGCCCGCACGCTGGTCTTGGTGGTGGCACTTCGGTGTAGCAGTGGCTGCTGCTTCTTTCTTGGTGGTGGCTTCGTGCCGGGGGTCTGTGGTGGAGGAGGACGCGGGCAGCTCCTCACCCCCCGCCGCCTGCCTGCACCGCTTTCCTGCCTGTGGGGCCTGGCATGGCCCCCCACGGCTGCTCTGGAGCCTGGCGGGGAGCAAGGGAAGGTGAGCAGCAGCCCTGGGCCAGCCTCCCTCCATGTCTGTAACCCCCCTCCGTCTTCCCTCACTTCAGCACTTCCCCCTCCATCTCTCCTTTATTCAGCACTTTGTTTCCCCTCGGCACCTTCCCTCTCCTTTTCCCCTCAGGTTTTGCCCTTCCTCCTCCATCTCCCCTCAGCTCTTCCCCTCAGGTTTTGCCCTTTGCCCTCCATCTCCCCTCAGCACCTTCCTCCTCAGCTCTTCCCCTCAGTGCCTTCCCCCTCCATCTCCCTTCAGGTTTTGCTTTTCCATCTCCTCTCCCCTCAGTGCCTTTCCCCTCCATTTCCCCTCAGGTTTTGCCCTTCCACCTCCTCTCCCCTCAGCACCTTCCTCCTCAGCTCTTCCCCCTCCATCTCTCCTCAGCTCTTCCCCTCAGTGCCTTCCCCCTCCATCTCCCTTCAGGTTTTGCTTTTCCATCTCCTCTCCCCTCAGTGCCTTTCCCCTCCATTTCCCCTCAGGTTTTGCCCTTCCACCTCCTCTCCCCTCAGCACCTTCCTCCTCAGCTCTTCCCTCTCCATTTCTCCTCAGCTCTTCCCCTCAGCACCTTCCTCCTCCATCACCCCTCAGGTTTTGCCCTTCCATCTCTTCTCTCCTCTATGTCTTCCCCCTCCATTTCTCCTGAGCTTTTCCCCTCAGTGCCTTCCCCTCCATTTCCTCTCAGATTTTTCCCTTCATCTCTCCTCCCTCCCCTCGCTTCTTTCCCTCTCCATTTTCCCTCAGCACTTTCCCTTCCCCCTTACCTTCCCCCTTCACCTCTCTTCCCCTCAGCACCTTCCCTTCCATCTCATCACCGCCTTTCCCCTTCCTTTTCCCCTCAGTGACCGCCCATCAGCGAGGTCTCCAGGGCAGCCATGGCACAGGGGCAAGCCTGAGCCTGCCTGCTTGGCCGGGGCCCAGCGCCATTGCTCTGGGTGAACAACCCTGTCCACCACAAGTTTCCTCCTGCTGCGTGTGTAAGTACTGGGGCTTGCCTGAGGTAATATGGCCACACCAGACACTATTAGTTTGTTTGAGGCAGTACAGCCCTGGCAGCACTTTAAATATTGCAGGGCTGGGGGGTTTGCAGCACATTGCTGCTGCAGAGGGGAAAATCAAACCCAAATCCATTGCAGGGACACCAGATATTGGGGCCCTTCCCACCCCTTCCCAGTACCTCAGCCCTGTAAATGAAGATGCTGAAGAAAACTCCCTTTTCCCTTCCCTCCCCTCTGCTCTTCCCCACATCAGAGCAGCAAGAGACACATGAAACAGCTTCTGAGGTGGCAATAGCTCTCCTGAGTGTTTTGGGGCCAGGGCAATGCTCAGATCTCCTGCCCTTGTTGCTGCTGCATCAGAGTGGTGAGCATTTTAACAGCTCCACGAACGATGGAGGTGAGTGAATCTCATTCAGAGGTGAGCCTGGACACAAAGCATTTGCAGAAACTCTTAGCAACAGTCACCGAAGCAAGGCACTGCTTATGTGTGTCCTCCTCTCCCTGGAAATTAAGTGGAGGTTTAATCCTGGTTTGGTTGCTTTCTCCCCCTCCCTGCCTGCCTCTTTCCTTCTCTCCTTCTGATCTATTTAGATGTGAAATTTGGCAGACGCTCGCAGTTGCATTCAGACAGGTGGTGATGAAATCAGGCTCCCAGGAGGCTGCTCCCACAGCGGATCCTGGGGCTGCAGGCAGCACTTCTCTGACTGCCACTAATGGTCTGATTTCAAAGTGTCAACAGCAGGGGTTTCGCAGTGATGGTTATTACTAATGCTGTACAGCAGCCAGCAGGTCTCCAAAGCCTGCGTGTGGATGAAAAGGATGGTGACACAGGGCAAAAAGGCAAGGAAAACAGGCACAGCAGTGATGGGATGTAAATAATTCATCCAGACTAAAAGTGAGTATGATATTGCGGGAGAATGGCTGAAGGAAGGGGATTACTTGTAGCTAGTGGTGGTTGTAGTTAATTGTATTATGATAAAACCTGATATGCCAGCCAAAATTAGAGCCTAGTGGTAGTGGCTGGCTTGAGCTACATACAAATAAAGTCATCTTCTGACAGCTTCTCCCTGGAGTACCAGTATAGGACCAATGTTTGCCTGGTTAACTTGCCCCTTCTGCTGCTGCAGTTGGCCAGGAAGATGCTGGGTGTTGAGGTGCTCCCAGAAGTGGGTAATTTTATACTGAAGGGGCATAATCCACAGAAAAATCCCTCACCCTCATACTGCTTTCTGCCACTTTTTTCTTTGTTCCCCTTTTAGACTCAGAATCTCAGACTCTGCTGTACCTGGCACAACCAGACTCCAGTCTTAGTAGATGTTGTACCCACCATTCTCAGTAAAAATACTAAGAACAAACTTTCCACAATCCTTTGAAGGTTTCACTGCATCTTGGAGGCATATATCTTTTGAAAATAAACATATCATGACTTCATAAAATAGAAGTCTATTTTGTAAACCCTTGCCAGGAAGGGTAATTGCATTCAAGCAGTAGATCTAACATATATGTGTAAGAGTTGTTAGATTTCTTTCAATTTTATTGAATATTCCTACTGTCCTTTTTAATTTTAGCTTGAGTGTAAAATGAAGTAAAGGTACCATTATATTTGTTTCCTTTGGTGAGACAGTGGTGATATGATGACCCCCAATTCAGTATAAAATCTGGCTAATGCAACAGGCAAGTGCATCTGAGAGGAGATTTTTGAACGTGCTTTATATCCTGATTGGAAAAATTAATAATTTTACAAACAATTATATAGATCTGGTGACACAAGGAAGGAAACTTTCGAGGCTTAAATTCAAAGCCCAGCCCAGCCTTTCTGATTCTGGTGTCAGAAAGAGGATCTTCACAGTTGTAGTTCATATGTATATGTGTATTTTAGGACATAAAAAAAAATGTCCAGACCTCAAATGCATAACCCATGGCTACTGGGTTTTAACTCAAATGGCTTTTATTTGGCTGGGGGGTTCTTGGTTCACTTTTGACTTCAAATGCAACTACACAGAGACATTTCTCTGGATTTCCTTGTGGAACCAGTTTAGTCTAAAATGTGCATCATTTTCCTTGTTCCAGAGATTCACTGAAAACTGTGTATAGACCTACTGAGGGCTGCTAAGGAAGTCTTGTGAAATGTTGTAGTTGATGCTGTGGGCTTAGCTTGAGCAAAGGAATACAGAATTAGACCCGAGATTTGTTCATGCAAGCAAAACCAGCAGGAAATCAGAAACGGGAGTTTGTCTTTTAAACAGGTAGAAAAGCAGCTTAATTTGCTACAAGCATCAGTATTCTTTAAATGTTTCCTCTGTCTTGTATATTCTTGATTAGTTGTTCTCTATAGGCAAGATTTTTTTTTTGTTCGGATTAGGGACTGAATCATTGACCTTTTCACTGAGGAATAATAATTACAGGGACAAATACAAATTGAATCACCGAGGAGCAAATAGTGGCGGATTGCAATCAGAGTAATAGCTTGGAGAAAAATCCTGGCCTTCTTGCTGTGAATTGTGAAGCCACTAGACTGAGCTGGAGCGGTCACGGTGATGGGAAGGGGGTGCCAAACATCTCTGGCTGTGGCAGCTCCTTGTCAGTTGTCAGCCTGCGTCCCTAGGAAATGGTCTTTGAGAGATAAGCAGCCAGCCAGTTTGACCTTTGGTTATTCTAGGTGATTAAAAATGGCTCATAATTAATACACTTATTATTCTTTTTATATTAGAACACTAATTGTCCACCTCTAATTCCTGTGTTAAATGCTGAACAGACAGATGATGAGAATCCTTACCTGCAGGAACCTAGGATCTAACCAGAAACAACAGCCAAACTGTGGAAATCTGATCAGCAGTGCAACGCCTCAGCTCTGATTGCCTGGCAGGACATGGCTGAGAACCAGAGCCCAGACCCCTCCTTACTGGTCCAGCCTCCAAACTGGGAATCATTTCCTGTAGCACATTTCCAGGATTGTTACAATTAGGATTGTTTTGCTGTACAATAGGTCTGCTTTTAAGCATCTGTAGTTCTTCTGGAGGACACCTTCATGCCCGCGAGTTTAACGTCTCTCCAAAAACGATGGTCTTTATTTTCCACTTCTTGAGAAATGTGCCTGTCCGAGGGTGACAAAGAAAGGCTGCTCCCCGGCGTGCAATTATGTGCTGTGCTGAAAGGAGACTGGATCTGCTCGGGGCATCTGCGGTGCAACTGTCAGCATCGCTGATGGGCCTGCAGGAGAAGGTTGCTATCCGTTACAGTCCTTGTCATGTGTATATTTAAAATCTCTGGCAGCTGTGATCTGGTGAATAATTCAGTGGAACCCATCATCGATAAAAGAGAGATTTTGAAGGGTTCTTTGGGTGGAATTGGAAGCGCCTGCTTTTCTGAGAAACGAGTGTATTAAAAATTGACTTCATGCTATCAAGATAAAACTCATATTTAGCCTTTTTTAATTTTTAATGTTATGTCATATTTATTCTCTGTGACTTCCAGCTACCAAGGCCCTACCTTGCAGTCAGATTCTGAAGTGTCTGTGGTTCTGTGGGGAACCCGACGAGCAAATTCAACAGCAGAATGGATACAGGCTTTGAGATGTGTGTCATTTCCCGTGCCTATTGCTCCTGCCAGCACAGCTGGTTAAATAAGGTAATTTATCTTTTTTTCCTGAAGTTGGCTGAACCGTTGTGTTTAATTTATTTATATTATTGACTGTGTGGAGAACTACCCTGGTGTGAAATGTCATCTTCAAGAGCTTTCTTCCACAGAAATACAGGCTCTGTATTAATGCAAACACTGCTTCCTCTGATGTATTTTTCAACACTTGCCTAAACCAAAAAGCAAAATATATACTCAGGCTTAACTTGATTTAGGTAAAAGGTGGCTCAGGGTCCCTGAGCTTATCCTGTGAGGTCTTGTGGATATATAGAAATGATGAGACAGGGCCAGCGGTTTCTCAAGAGCAGGCTCTGACCAGGCAGGAAAAGCACAGGTTTATTTTCTCTTCCTTGTTCTTTTCCCTCTCTCTTCCTCTCCCTCCCTCCCTGCCACACGGCAGATTTACTCACTGCATCCACGGGGCGTTTAGACAGTAATGAGCCCTAATTTCTTAGTGCAAAGTAGTAATTGTTGTCCTGTGCTTTTTCTGTTGGCTCACAGTGTAAGCCCAGACTGTCACTTCACTGAGCGCTTTGCTCCCCCTCTCCACCCTCCCTGGGCTGCGTGGGACAGTAATTAGCATTAATACTGCTCTCCAAAATTCAAAGCATGACACATTGGATCCACTTTGGGTCCACGTTGGGTCCAGGCCCTACCTGCTTTGGAACCTTTCCTGCAGACTGAGCTTCTAATGATGTGGGGAGGTTGTTTACAGGAGTGTCCACAGCTGTCCCAGCAAGAATTGCATTACTTGCAGAACGGTAAAAAAAGCAAGGCCAAATTTTTTGGCTGATCCCAGGCAACCCTCTGTAGCCAGTGTCTGTTATTGGGATCACTCTGCGCATTTGGGCCCTTAATTTTTAGAAGTTTTGAGTTCCTCGCAGTTGTCTCAGGCCCAGCAGGTCACCTTGCTTTGCTATGGGGTGCTCTTGTGCTCAACTTTGTTTTTATCCAGGGAAACTGATTTCTGTGGTGGGGTTGGTTTTTGGCTGAGATTGTTGTTGTTCTTTGATTGTTTCTTGGGGTTGTCTTTTTTTTGCTTCAGGGTTTTGAGTTTGGGGTTTTTTTTGCTGTTTTGGAGGGGTATTTTGGAGGACTTTATTTAGTTTGGGTGGGTTTGTGTTTCGGTTTGTTTCATTTGGGGTTTGGGTTTTTTGTTGTTTGTTTTTTAGAGGTTTGTTTCATTTGGGGTTTGGGGTTTTTTTGGTTTTTTGTTTGTTTGTTTTGTTTTTAGAGGTTTGTTTTGTTTGGGTGGGTTTGTGTTTTGGCTTAGTTTAATTTGTTGTTGTTGTTGTTGGCTTTTTGTTTTGTTTTGGGGGGTTGTTTGGATGGTTTTGTGGTCGGTTTGGGGTCTTTTTGTTTTGTTTTAAAGTTTGCTTGTGGTGGGTTTTTTTGCTTGTTGGTAGTTTTGGGGTTGGTTTGTTTGTGGGTTGTTTTTTTTTTTTTTCAGTGGGTTTTTATTCTGCCCTGCGGCTCCCGGGCGCGGCCGACCGGTCCCAGTGCTGCCGGGCGGCCCCGCTCCGGGCCCCGGTGC